ACCAGCGTCGTTATTTTCCGATGGTGGGTGTATCGCTGTCTGTTGGATCGAGTAACATCCCGACATAGCAGTGCTCGTGTTAGACATTATGGTCTTCTTCCCCATTTTGATCGCTGTGAGCAGGTATTCTCGAGAACTGTGCTGGCATCCTTGCACCACTCCAACTCCGTATTCACTTGGGAATTTCATTACCTAGTGATAAGGAGACCAAATTGCTCGAGCTTGGCACATCCATGGTCATCCTAAAATCACATTGAACGGCGAGGGTGCATCTATCAGGGCAAAATCTATGGTTAGTGTAACCATACTAGGATGCGTCCCTATCTTGATAGGGAGTCTTCCAATTCCCGTTGGGATAATGGTATGAGCTAAGAAACCCATCAGTGGCAATGTTGCTGGGCGGATATCGAGGTTTTGGATATTCATCTTCTTGAAGCAACCGCTATATATGATGTCGACTGCACTGCCCTTATCCACATAGACCCGACTTACAGGCACATTTTTGATTATCGCTTCGATAACCATAGGATCGCTGTGAGGACAAATATCTGGGACCACATCACTGTCAGTGAAGACTATGGCCTCCGTCCCTTTCAACCTCTTGTGACTTGGTTCCTGGGGATGAGTTCTTCAGAGGGTCCGTACTGAGTTTTTCATTGCCCTGGTGGATCAAACCTCAAGAGGCGCTCCATTAATGGCTCCTATATGATGAGTGATTTGGTTGGTAGGATCTACCGAAGGAACCTGCTGAATCGGCTGCGGTGCTCCTCTGGTAACTTATTGGGGAGGTTGCTGTGTATTATTTTGTGGTCGCCAATGATTTCCTTGATTTTCTCCTCGAGGGCCTGGGAAACTTCTTCTGGGGATGCTTCGAGGAGCTGGCTGGGAAGGCTTACCGTTTCTTTGTCGAGAAGACCCTTGCACATATTGCTAAAATTTCCCAGACTTAACTCCATTCTCGATCTCCCTCTTTAATTCTTGACATTTCTTGGTTTATGGCCATGGTCTTGGTGATATTCACAGTATTGTTTCGTCGATCTGTGTGGATTAGGAGCCAAGGGCTTTGGTGTAGGCAGTTCATCCTTATGGATATAAAGGATTTCACGACAAGGCTTGGTTAAAGGGGTCAACTGTCTATCAAGCTTAGGTAATGCCGTCCTGCTTTCCATGGTAACCTTTGGCTTATCTCTCGTCCCAATGGCCATGAAGGACTCCTATGATCGCTTGAGTGTATGCTCTTGTTGGATATGATTCTCCACAATAGCCCACATCTCTTGAGAATTCCCAGTAGGTTTGGTTGAAAGCTTTACTCTTAGCATCGAGGATTTCCCAAATGGATTGAGTCTTTGAATGAACCCATTCCGAGAGACTTTCGTGTTAACCCTACTTGATCGAGGAGAGATCAATGGACATTCTGGTGATTTGCTTACTCCGAAAGAAACGAGTGGCCAATTTAATGGATAAGTCCTCAAAACTGATTATACTCCCTTCTGGAAACTATCCAAACAATCACTGCACTTGCCCAGTCAGATAGGAGGGCAGAGCTTTAGCCATGAACTTTAAGGACGCATTCCTGATCCTCATGACATAGACATATCTATGTAACCACTAGGAGACAGTAGTATCCCTGAGTACTTGGTGAAGTCCTTGGGAAAGTCAAAGTCCTGGAGTTTTGGCTCATCTCGAATTTCTGGTATAAATGGACTCCGGTTCACAACCATTCTAATAATTCTTCTCATTTTGTCCCGGATTGTCTCGTTCTGCCTCCGACCTTGAAGATGGTAAGGTGGTAACGACTTGTAATGGTTGTACTGATGCTGCGTAGGAGGTGAATACTGTAGATAACAGTTATTCCCCCATCCTCGTTCTTCTTCAGCATCGTGATTGTCTCGAGTTTGCCTATGGAAGGGTCTGTAATCTTCTTTTCGAGGACTTTTCCAATGCCAATTAGGTTCCAACCGATTATGGACATAGGTTTTCCTCGGGAGAGGGGTACCCTCTCCTTCCCCCATGAATTCAACGCTTGGCGACTCTCGTTAGTAATGCTCACGAGGACCCTTGCTTCTATAGATTGTATCAAACTCTTCGAGGGCTATATTTAAGGCAGGGTATTTCTTCCTGAAGGCATCTAGTAAACGGTGTCTCGTGTGGTAGTGGAATGATCTTCTTGGAAGCCCTCGTGATCCGAGAACTCCTGATGGTCGTCCACTTCCTGAACTTTTCGTTTACCTTGTCTTGTCTCGAGACGAGCTAAGGTGCGACGGGCTTCTTTCTCGTCAATCAGGTTAGCCAACTTTCACTCTGTTGGGTCTGGTAGACAGAGAAGACTGCGACTCCTTGTTTCTTCTAAGACATACTTCTTCATCCTTTGATTTTGATCACTATCGTCGCGCAGTTTCTTGAGCTCAGCCTCGATCTTGGCTTACTTTTGGTCCTCCAAGTACTTCTTGGATGTTCCAGTATCCCTGGGTGGATGCAAATCCTCCTTATCTGTTACTGGCTTTGTATTGTCCGGTCTCTTCGGATTAGGTTGGAAGGAGCCAAGGACCAAATGCTCCTTCGCTGATTCTTTCTCGGGTCCTTTCTCACGGCTTCTCCCCACCTTTTTCCTCTACTGTCTCTTTTGGAATTCCGCCAAAGTAGTATCGTCGGCGAGACTGCATCGCCGACCGAAAGATCCTATGGATTCGTTCTCTTCAACCCTGGCCATAGTGCAAGTGGTTCCAAAGAAACCCTAGGTTGCTCCGGAAAGAATTAGAAAAACTTGAGAAGGTTTTCGTGACACAAACCCTCGTTTTCAGGTACCACTGGGCGTGCCACTTGACGAAGCCTGGAATTATATCGCCGGTTTAACAGTGAAACGCTGGCTAGGGTTTCCTGCAAAATAGAGTATCGGGGGGGCAACCGAGGGTAGACACTCTGATTCTTAAGTCAGAAATAGGGTTATGAGTAAACGTGTGTATGAGAATTTGTGCTAGAGATAGCGTACTTCAATTATGGTGTGATCAACTCTATTTATAGACATAAAATTACCTAGGAGATAACTGAGTCTTACTAGGTTTCGTGTTGTTCAAACCGCCCTAACAGAGTCGGTTAGACTCTTTACTTGGTTAATGGGCCGGTCCAATATTGGTGATGGATGTGAACTCGTCATGTCAGCGCACTATTACAATAGGAACCTCTTGTGATTTCTTTCAATCCTCTTCAGTCCTCTTCAAAGATGGAAGTAAATCTATCTCATTCTAGCACAAGCGGAAGATTTTGAAAATTCTCAACCCAAGAAATTTCTAGTTCTTTATTTCTTTTAGAGGGTTCTCAGATTTTGCTCTATTTGGTACCTTCATCTTTCATCAAAGGAGGTACTATAATGCAAAAAGCGTTTGGCGACTCTACCTTAATTTGGAGAAAAAAAATTTCACAAATCCTGTTGTCGGTTATACTGAGGTGAGTATGATTTGGATTAAATTCTGAAATATTGTACTAGTGGCAATTTGTTGACATGTCATAGTTGGTCAATCATTCATAAGTGTATTTCGACGAATGTAAATCGATTCATGATGATTCTTTTATATCTTCATACAGCGTTCGGTAACCTTCAAAACCAATTGTTCGTCAAAAAGATAGAAATTGGTACACTAAAGGCATGCAGAACTTTTTTCTGAATAATTTCTCGAGAGGCGGAAACAGGAGGGAACATACAACACCGTATTTATTTTTCTTAAGAATGTTAAATATACATCAAAGAAAAAAATTAAGTTGGTTCATTTCACACGCTGTTCAGAAATTATTATAAACTTTTCCCTTAATTTATACAAAAAATAAACCAAAACAATCTCATAGTACATAATGCAAATATATTAAATAAAAATATCTTAAATAATACAATTTTTTGTCATGTTTACTTATACAACAACAAAAGACAATTTTATTTATATTCGTGCTAGTTTTCCCGTATTCATTTAATATAGTGGAATGTACAAGCTAAAATTTACGGGGTTTTTTTTTTTTTTTTGTTATGTTGATTGCTAAATATTTTTTCGTATAATTAAATTTTTTTTGCTAATGCTGTAAAGATTTCTATGATTGAGAGTATCCGGCTAACTTTTAGCATTAATTTTAATGGCATTTATAATTTTCAATAATTGTCTATTGAACCATCTCTAGTAGTTACCAGCGTACAAAAAAAAATAAATAAATAAACCACAAAATTTATTATAGGGTCATTTAGGCATTGACAATAAACTTTTCTAAGCAACTTATGAGAATAAAAAACAAATGGGTGTGTTTTGCCTCCCGAAAGGAACCTACCCAGTTTAAATCTGGATTAGTCGCAAAAATGACTTCGGACACCGGGTGCATAATATAAATAAAAAAAAAGAAAAAAAGAAGAACGAGAAAAAAGGGTATCGTGCTAGAAAGTTTAGTGGAAATCAATCTCCTTAAAAAACACTCTGATTTACGGGAAATGTTTAGTCAAAACTGCATTTATTTGTTTTTTTCATCTTGGCTAGAAAGTCGACAAGTTTTTGAAAAATTGCATGGTCAACAAGAACCTCAACGACTGGTCGTAGTTGACCCACTGAAATTTTACTTCTCGAAGTTTTAGGAAAACTTGCGCATCCACTGTTACATTGTTTTTCCATATCAACATCGACCAGGAACAAAAACTTGTTCTATCTTTCTTTCTTTTTCTTTTACTCTGAGGTGTGTTTTAACTGATTCCCCTGTAAAATCCGTCAATGCCTAAAAGATGGAAGCTTCAAACTTTAAAAAGAGAATGGGAATGGGATAGGAAGAAAATTGGAGAACTAATTAAAGAAGTCTTCAAACACATGCATGCCCGCAGAAAGAAACCAAAAAAAAAAAAAAAGAAAAGAAGAAGAAGAATCATCCAACTACAAATTAGTTTTGTTGTCAAACAAGACTGACTTTTGAATCATAAAAAAATTGAAGAAGAATCAGCAGCACAGCAGAACTGCAGGGCAATACACCACTATTTACTACTTGTTGCACTGTCCAATGTCTTGATGATCCTCCCCGTTATCCACTGCTACCACAACACTCTGGGAGCTGCTGGAAGAAGGCCCTTCTCCAGTGTTACCGTTGGACAAAGAATGATTATTGTTAATCTTGCTGCTGCTGCCGCTGAGAAACCTGGCCGGAGGAGGAGGAGGAGGAGTAAAGAATCCAGCAGGGGCGGCCGAGTGGTGGTGCCGAAGAAAATGCATAGGGGGTGGGGGTGGTCCTCCATAGCAGGTGGTGGTGGTGGACGTCCCTGCAGGGGGGGCAAGGCCAATGCCTAAGGTGGGTGGATGATGTTCGCCACCACCAGCAGCAACAGAAGCAGTTCGTTTCCCTAGTAGGGCATCGGATGATGGGCCGCCCCCAGCCCTATGATGATGATGATCTCCAGGGGCAGCAGCAGCATCAAACTCCCTGTGGCGATGGAGATAGAGGGTCAAAGGCTCAATGTAGTCATCAAAGCCCAGCTTGCTCATCGCCCACAGCACATCCTCCGCGGTGATGGTCTTCCTCTGCTCCCTCTGGCACCGCTCATTGGCTTCTCCTGTGACGAAGCTTATGAACTCTGACACGCATTCCTGAATGGTTTCCTTGGCATCATCAGATATCTTCGCATGCGCTGGCAGTGTCTTCCTCATGATCCTTATCACATTCGCTATCGGCATAAACCTGTCTTGCTCCCTCACCATGCACTCCCCGCTATCGGCTGCTCCTCCACCACAAACAGCAGCATTACTACCACCACCATTACCATAAGTAGCTGCTCCATAGCTGTTAATGGGGTTCAGTTGGTTATTGTTAGGAGCAGCTGGTGGTTGAACTTGGAGAGGCACTCCAATTCCAATGTTCATTCCTACACACGCATGTATCAATCATCACCATCATCATATACATTATAACACTTACAGATTGCTATAATTTAATCAATATACATATATCAAAGCTCAAAATCAGGGGGCTTCATGCATCAAACGGGAGAAATCACTGTGTCAAAAATGGTAAAGAAGATTTGTGCATCAAATATATTGATTCCAAAGAGCCCGATTGAAAAGCTACGACAGTATCATAACTGTCTGAACTTTGAAGTCCTGTGAATCACTTTCAGTCTTTCACCTGCTCCCTGCTATCCCATAAATAAATTACTCTCTCCGTCCCATAATTATTGTCCAGTTTTACTAAAATGAAAGATTTTATTTTTAATCAAACTTAACTATATTTTATCTTAAACAACCGGATATACCTCTACATAAGTAATTGTTTAACCACTAAGATTTTATGGATAATGTTTTTTACTAAGGACAAATGTGTAACTTGATCCATAAAAAGTCAAATTGAACAATATTTTTGGGACAAAATTTTTTGGGTAAAGTGGGCAATAATTATGGGACGGAGGGAGTATAATATATGGGTATAAAATACTGCTGCTAGTGAAGGTGTGCTGATTGAGTGATAAAATTCTTATTATTCTCTTGTTATGACAAATTCTTTTATAAACTGTTCATTTTGTATCCGAACTACAGATTGGAATCAAATAAAAGAAGTATTGAGCTCGTTTTCATTCATTGGTCAGAGCAGTAATCTCCTTCCTAGTTCGCTACTTAAAACAAAATCAATAATAGCCATAAAAATATTGCTTTTGAGTAAAACGAGAAATTAAAAAAACATGATTTATATTACTTTATAAATGTTTCAATTTAAATAGGATAGAGGGAGAGTGTGATGTATATCACGAATTTTACCCAATCGTTCTGGCCAAAAAGAAAAGAAAAATTATTTTTGGTTTAGAAAGGAAGGAAAAGAGATTGCATTTTGATTTGATGATGAAATCAATTTGTAACTGCAATTGCTGCAGAAGTGAGGGGGGATGTCTATAGGCTGTAATCCTAATGTTCTAATGTATACTTGGATAACCAATGAATCACAGTAATAAAAGTCAGATGACAAAAGAGTATTCGCTCAAGGGAAACAGAAGCTTAAAGTCAGCTTCTCAGGTTTTTCCAAGTTCTGAAAATTTCAGCAAAACACTGGTATAAAGGTCATATTCATAACACATTGCTAATCAATGCAAACATCCGAATTGTGAGCTATCAGAACCATTGTCAACTACGACAAGCAAGGTTCAATTTATCCAAAGAAATCTTGGACAAAAAGGTTTAAAAATAGGAGAAAAACGTTCTCCAAAACAGCACCTCAGAAGAAAAAACTAGAATTTCACCACAAGCTGGTCATGTATAAGTCTATATTTTGGATAAACCGTAACCCTATGTTATGATCTGTGTAAACTTAGATAAACTCCATAGAGTGTATAAGATATTTGTGAAAGAACACCACAGAAAGAGTTCAAGAGATTGAAGAAACGAGTCTCTCAAAAAGGGACAGGAAACAGGGTTCTCTGTATTTTCAGAACGCGCAGAGTACATTCATTCTTTTTCAAAACAAGTTTTTGGAAAGGTCCATGACACCATTCAAGAAACCACAAGAGCAGATGAAAACCTTTGATACACCTAAAAGAGGCATGAGTGAAAATTCACTAAAAACCGTTGATACACCGAAGTTTTCAGACTTTACTACTTTAGGAAATCATCTTTACTCCTTAAGCCTTCTTCATTCGCGAAATCCCTCAAATTTCAGTTATCAAAATCCCGTTTAGGTGAATCTAAATTTTCCACTAGAACGCAAAATAATCCATTCCCATGTCCTAATCATCCATCACCTAGTTGAGTACTTATTTTAAACTATTGAATCCAAACTATTGTAAACTATAACAGATCGACACCAGCGCCAAAATCAAGCAAAATTCCTACTTAACAACTTTACCAATCTAGCATGCATTATTCGAAGTTGACGCATTTCTACAACAATGCATTTTCCAAATTTTCTCATATACAAAGTACTATTTCATATACTTAAACGAGAAGAAGAAGAGGACATTTTCTTTTATCAATTTTTTACCTATTTTGTCTTCTCCTCTTCCGGATTCCTCCCCTTTCTATAACTCCTTTGCTTCCTCTTCCTATCTTCCCAATTCCTCTTCTTTTCTAGTCTCAATGGTGTAGCTGACAGAGAAGGATCTGAAGTAAAAGGGAAATGGGAAATGGAAATGGCCGGAATTGGAGTATTGGAGTTAAGGATTTTTGGCGAAGGAATATGAAGGATTTTGGTGTTTTGAGAAAAGGAAATGAGCATGCATATGGGTGTGTGTTTGAGGCGTGGGGAATGAGAGAGCCTCATTGGGTGAGGAATTTGCATGAAATTTTATTGGGCAGTGTTTAGGTGGGAGTTGGGTAATAAATTTTTAAGTTCTTTATGTAGTCTCATGGTTTTCTAAATGTAACTATGTAATCCATTAGGTTCTTTTTTATTTTAGTTTAGATATCAAGATTAAGATTAATCTTCTTATCAACTTATAGTAATATTTTATTCTGCTTTTTATTAACCGAACCCTAAATCTCTATCTTCAAAGATTAAGTCATTATATATTAGCAATAGGTTTAAATGATAATATTAATTTCAGTATATATGTTTAAGCAAAGACGTCCCACTATTTATATGTGCGCATGAAGAGAAGGTATGTATAGTAGTGGTATGTGATTGCTAAAACAAGCAATTGATTCAATTAAGGTTGTGAATATGACCATGCACATTAATAAAAGATGGAAGAGCTTTTCCCAAATGTATCCCTGAAATCATTTCAAATTAAAGTTTTATACTAATTTTCATATATATATATATATATATTAATATTTATTACTAAATCATTTTAACAATTATACACGGTAGTAGAATATTTATATTTATTACTAAATCATTTTTGAAAATTATACACGGTAGTAGAAATCATCATCTATCTTTTAAGGATATAAATTAAAGGGCAAAATAATTAATGACCTTTTAGTTTTAATAGTACTCTCAATATATGAAATTGGAAGGAATTCGATAATTACTAGCTGTTCCAAATCATTAATTACGTTTTGAAAATTGGATCGAAAGTTGAATCGATACTAGTTGGGTTATTGGTTTACTGGTTCAACAAGTTCAAATCGGTTTCCAAAACAAGTCAAAATCGATTATCAAAAATATTTAAAAAGAACTGTTTTCCAAAATTTTAAAATTCCACTTCAATCGATACCAATTCCCGATCGACCCGTGGTTGAACATGAGTTTGACCGATTTTTAAGATAATCAATTATTTATTGCAATCAGATCAGAAAGATTTCTGATTCCCGATCAAACTGGTTTGATAGTGAATCCGATTCATTTTTTAAAACATCTATCTCTACAAATCAATTAAATATAAGAAGAACTCTATCGATATATCTATCTACTAGTATATTTTTCACACTCACATTCGTAGATCAGTCAAAACACACTAAAAAAGAAAAACTATTGCAATAGACAGAATAATTAATCTTGCACATAACAACAAAATCTAAATAAGGGTTGTACTTTCACAACTAAAATTAATGAACAACAATTGTTTTCTTTTACCAGAGGTTCTGTTGGGTATATTCTGGCAATACCCAGTGTAATCACTCCTATCACTTCCGTTGCTATTCACTCCTGCTCTTCCTGCCTCCATTGCTTTTATATCTTATTCACCGATAGTACTACCATTTACTAGCTTCCTAAACACACAAAAACACACACAAGAAAAATCCAGTTTTGCGGTTTCTTCACTTGCTACTATGTATGGAGAAGCACCAAACGAAATTGAATAAATAAGCACAAAAAAGAAATAAAAAATAAAAAAAGAGAAACCGTTGCCAAATGGAGTGGCATAATGACAACTGGCAAAGTGGTGTTTTATATATTACTATTTCTAAGAAGAAAAATAAATGTAGATTTTACGTGACAAACCGGCGTAGATAACGAGGGTTTGTATTTGCGGGTAACTAAAAAATTTTACAGTTGGTACATCTATTTTAACTGTGCTACCCACAACTTTCCTCGCCTATTCTTTTACTCCCCGCTCCATTTCCCGATTTCTTTAGTATTTCATCCTCCCCCTTCAATATATACTTTGTTACAAAGCTATGAAATATATATATATATACCCGTCCTATACCAATTCTAGTTTACATTGATAAATAACATGCCTTTTAATTTTACTCAACTTCTATTTCTGTCCTTTACTTATTATCTTAATTTTATATAAGAACACATTCATGAATATAGTATTCAATATTTTATAATAATAACATTGTACCAATTATTATCAAATAGGTCCAAAGGCTAGAAATTATATTTTCACATATAAAAAAGTTCTAAATTGATATAGCATATCACCCCATGGATTTCACTTTCAAACCATTCTCATTATTCTATTAATGAGGAAAGTCACCATAATAGGAGAATAAGGTTAGATTTCACTACTTAGCTATTAGTTGGCTTAATCAAAGTAGGTTGGGTTCCCTCGCCTTATTAGTCCCTAGGCTCACGAGCGCTAGTCACCCATCTCACTAATTAGCAATCTCAACACATTTGAACTTGATTCACAAACGTTATTAGTAGTAGGCTGCAAATCAAACCTAAGTTACCCGTTGTGCCGCTAAATAACTCTCAACTTTCCGAATTATAATTCTAAAGTGGACTAACTAATCCCGTTCTTCCACCCCAATCTCTCAATTTTTCATGTTCCCATTAATGTCAAGGTGAATGTCATTACCTACCTTAAATATTGCCCAATTTTCGATCTTCCATGAGTTAACTTTCCTCTAATGGGTCCTAAATCTCACAAGCTACTCCCGCCTATGTAATTTTTCTCCAAGAGATCATAAGTAAACTCACTCATCAATTTTTCCTCTCCAATACAATCAAGTAAAACATTCAACAACAAATAAACAATCTAATATTAATTCAACAATGGAATTATCTATTAATTATATTATTAATCCATGGGGTAAACAATCCCAATTCAATAGGAGGAATTAACTAGCCATATAAATGGAAAAGAAATCCAAACCACAAAATGGACCGAGGGCTTCAAGACTTCAAAGGATAGTCGGCAATTTGGTCTCCCAATGGCACTTCAAACTTTTCTATTTTCATGTCCAAATCTCCACCTTCACTTTTTCTCTCTTTCTCTCCCATTTAAGAAATTAAAATGTAAAACTAAGTAAAATTAGGTAAATAAATGAACCCTAAACTAAGGAATGAAGAACAATGCTTGAACTTCTATTTAAGATGCTGAAAAATGAGACAAAAGTTCCTAAAATCCGTTTACAATGGGGTATTTATAGGAATGGAGTACAATGGGTCAAAAGTTTAAGTACAGCAAAGTAGTAGGAACAATTGGTAGTCCTTCAAAGTGAAGAACCGCCGGACTTTTGGGATATTTTTTATAACATCCATAACATTTGGGGCCTAAATGAAGAGAGGAAGCCTTTATTTGCAAGGGTCTCTGTACGTGGGGGCTTTACTGCAATTTCGGAAATTCTTCTTCTTCTTCCTCTCGATCAAATTTTCCAGCTGCCGCTGCCACCGGTTTCCGCCTCTCGGACCTTCGCCGGGACTTGATGATTCAATAGCCAAAATAGCAATAATCAACACGAATCTTTATACCATCATCAACGCAACAAAACCCCATGTTTTGGGTCTGTTTTCCATCACGATTTGAAGATTTTTCCTTGATGCAAGTCCCTTGCCTCACGTCGGGAACTCTCAACTTTCGTCACCGGATATGAACTATTCATTCCATAAAATCATAGCTGATCGACTTCCCTCAACTCCTGCTATATTTACCCTCAATTTCCATGCATTTTAGTACGAATTTCAGTTCAAAATCGATGACTATTCATTTCTGCTATTTCTTGTATCCTTGCTGGAATTTCATCATTTTCAGCTCTGAGTGACAAATTGCCTTGCACTTTTTCGTCTATTTCCAGTCAGTTTTGGATTTGACTTCTGAATAGAAATTGTAGTCCTCTCTTCCAGCTTTACAACCACATAAAGAACGGGTGCTTCTTGACTTTAGGGTGTCTCAAACCCAAAATTGTAAGAGAAAATAATTTTAGGGTTTTAATACTGGACATTTATATACTTCTCGCGCTTTGAAAACGCAAAAATTAAAAATTAAATAAAAAATTTACGTTTGTGAAACGCGAAATCTGTTAATAGAATTAAAAAAATTAAACTATTATTTGCACAAATTGATTCCGAAAAAAAAGAAAGAAAAAAAAAGGAAATAAAAAAGGCAAACAAAAAATAGCGTTTTGAAAATGCGAATATTCTTTCTCGCATTTTTGAAACGCGAAAATGCTTTAGCGTTTTAAAAACGCGAATAGATACATATTTAAAATAAATTTTTAAATTAATTTTATACAATTTAGCCTTTTGAAAACGCGAAAAAAACAGTCTTAGCGTTTTGAAAGCGCGAAAGTTAGTTTTAACGTTTTGAAAACGTGGAAATATCCAGAAAATCTCCCCAGCCACTCATTTGGCTCCACGTGTATTTTGCTGATAAGATTTGAAAGAATTCGCGTTTTGTACGTGCGAAATTTAAAATACACATAACAAAACAACAGCATTTCTTCCCAAACTTACCTTATTTCGTTCTGTTGAGCTCCGAATTTGAATTTCACTCCGAAGGACTTTGGCTGAATCCGGGAAAGCTCTCATTTCCTTCAAATTGAGAAGTTGCTCCTGAAGTCAATTTAAAACTCAATGTTTCAACATTCAGGTTTGTATTTTTCGTTATAGAAAACATGTAATTTTTTATTGCTTTATTGTGAGCATAGAATGATTTATGCATTATTATTAGTTTATAAATAATTGTGATTTACTCAATTAACGGTGGATTCCGAATTAGGCTGATAAAGTGAATTGAAAGAAATATTAGTTAATAGAATGTTAAATTAGATGAGATTTGTAAATTATTGTATATCGATTTCTGTAAAATAAAATAAAATTATAAACATAAGAATAGATTATGTAATTCGGGCACAAGATTTAGATTTAATATTAATTTAAATTCTTTGATTGTAAAATTTATATTAATTTAAATTCTTTGATTGTAAAATTTGGGTTTGCTATTGTTATATTGGATGATTCTTGAAATTTATTGTATATTGATTTAGGAAAAAGTTTATAATACACAGAGTGAGTTTTTAAAATATTTTTAGCGTAGAAATGAAGTTTTAAATTCAGGCGTATAGTTGTTCTTTTGAAATTATTAAATCTGTAAACGGGGTAAATACTGTTTCGACAAAACTAAAATTCAAAATGTATTCTAGTGTTCTGATTTCGTAGGAATTGATTTTGCAGGCCGTAAATGTCTTTCATGGAGACAGTTCGTCTGAAAGTATAATGGAATACTACTTATACAACTGAACCTGATGGGACTATCACGGTACAACGGGATGCGCCGGACGGTTATCTTATCATTGATCGTATGTTAGATTTCTCGGAACTTGTTGATAAGGTATGTGGTGTGATGAAAGTTGATAGAGAAGGGCTGTATATTGATTTTTCTTTGGTATGGACAGAGAGGTCAGGAAAACGGTCTCGTGTGCACATTAATGATGATAATACTGTTCGGTTCATTTATCTTTGTGCTGATAAATAGCCAGAATTGTACCCTGAAAATGTTGAGAGAATAGGCCATGTTTATGCAAGTACATCTGGCCAGGATATTGGTGCCAGCACTAGTGATGGTAGAACAGTTGAAGACAATAAAGATGAAGATGGAGATGAAGATGAAGATGAAGAATGGTATTTCGCCAATTTGGTTATCACCAACGGATACCCTGTGACGCATTGCTTCTCACTGCGTGGGAAATTACTAGCCTGCTCAAGAGGAAGCCGTTTGGAGGATCCGATAGGAGATGGATACAACAACTAGGGATATATCTCCAGGTTTGGAATGATCACCACGGCAGACTTGTGGGGGCTGATGATGATTATGTTAGCCTACAGCAGATCCGGAGTATCTCTTGTGGTACCATCAGGTTACTGTAAAATATGTTACGGATCCGACGGACTCTGAAAATGCGAGGGGTTTTCACGGCTCTACAGAGACCTTGCGCCTCATGGTGAGTATTTCGTTCAGTTTCTTTCGCCTACAGTCCATTAAACTAGTTATTTTTATTGTTATCGATTTATGATTCTTTCTAACAAAATTTCAGGCCACATTGATGGAGGACGTTTGTAGTCTGAGTATTATAGGCCAGCGTACTTTCGACAAGGACTCCTTTGGTTATGATCGCTTAGGCGAGATTGCCCAAGTTGCTGAGCGGGCGTTGTCTGTCAATGCAACAAACGTTGTACGTCACGATCTCGATAGGCAGGTTGAGGTTAATGACATTTTGAGTCAAGAACTTGCACCTGTAGACCCGACCCAGCAACATCCACCAGACCTCCGAGGCGTTCGTGCAGGTCTGAGCATGGGCGTGGGGGGCAAGAGACAATCACGCCCACTCAGCCACATCAGTCCTCCCAGCATCAGCAGTCTCATATCCCCTTCACTGACGGTTCATCCCATCAGTCTCCATTTATGTCTACACACCATTCTTCTCAGCATTCATCCCATCAGTCTCCACATTCTCCACATCATTCATCCCATCAGTCTCCACATCAGTCTCCCCATCATTCTTCCCCGACCCAACAGGCGTTTTACCGTCCCATTATGTCTCCCCAGCACCAGCAGTCCCATTTTGCCTTCACTCAATTTTCCTCCCTTCAGACTTCTCAGCCTCAGTTTGGAGATGCTTTTATTGACTTTTCTGGGTTCCAGCAGAGTTCTCTAGATGGCCAGTCGATACATTACATGAGTAACTTTCTTTCGAGTATGTTCGAGGGTATTGCGGGTCAGCATCAGGCTAATGACCCAGCTAGAGGTGAGCCTGAGGATGAGGATGAGGATGAGGAAGAGGCTGAGGATGCAGACCAGCATGATCAGTTTGAGGGTCAGGGTTATCAGCGCCATGAGGAGCAGGGATCGAGTAAGACTCTAGGGACTCCACCGTTGGCTGTGAGTAAAGGCCAGAGAGTGACGAAGGAGCCCGATAGATTGACTTATAGCCATTTTCGGGCTAAAAAGCCCAAGAAGAAGTAGGGTACTAGACTTTTTATGTAGTATTATTAGACTTGTATTTTTTTTTTCCTTTTGTTATGGATTGTTTTATTTTTTTCCCTTTTGTTATGACTTGTAGTATTTTGTTATGACTTGTATTAATATCCTTAATAGTTTGATTTCACCTGCATCGTTGCTACTTTATTAATATTTATCAAACACATCTTCGCCGATCAAATCTAATCACATCTTCAAACTTTCTTATATTTTTTTAATAATTAATAGTTGCTTTATCTTTTTTTTTTTTATAAACAAACAGCAAAGTATTTAGTTTATCCAAACAAAAGATGTAATTCTTAGCTCTTATATACCAACCGTTTATTAAAATTACCACATCCACAAAAGAATAGTACCAGATACCTAAAACAAACATTCAGTAAACTAAAGTTCTCTTCAAAATTAAGATACGGTGCATTAAACAATCGCATTGGCAGCACTTTCAATCCTAGGCCAAAAATCATCACACTCCTTTCCAATGGGACCACTGATTGCAGAACCTTTCATTTTTCCCTTGGGATTAACAATCACTCCAGCATTATCTTCAAAGTACATGTAGACACCGTCCTGTCGGCGCCATGGCTTGTGCTGGCGGACAATGACTGTGGGCATGACCTTCTTCCTGACTGAGATCGGGCTTACCGTTCTTGACGGTGGCCATAACCATGTCACCGACGCAATCAGAAGGAAGACGGTTGAGCCTACCCTTCATTCCCTTCACTAAAATGATGTAAAGGTTCTTTACCCCGATGTCGTCGGCGCAATTCACCGTCGCAGCCACTGGAAGACCCAGAGACATCCTGAACTTGTTATTCGCCGATCCTCCACATCCTCGCTTCGACATTTTTGCTGTCTCCCCTGTGAGGTTTCCGAAGAAGAGATAATAGTTGCTTCATCTTAAGCGTTAGTAAATTATAATAAATATTTAATAAAATTTGTTCATATTTTAAGCTTTTTTCTTATATTGAAACCGTCATAATTAATAAAAACAATTTGTAAATTAAATTACATCTATGTAATTCCATAATATTACATCATTTATCATTATTGAACATTTTTCATATAAAATTATTTTATCAAATAATGATTACATTTTTAATATAATTTTTTAAAAATTTAATATAATTTTTTAATATAATCATTATCAAATTTTTGATATAATATTTTAAAAATTTAATAAATTATAATAATTATTTCATACTTTTAATAATTTATATTTAGTGTAGCTCCATTTAATTTAATGAGTATCAATTATAATATTATATTCTTATTCAAAATTTAATTTTCCTATTATTACAATTATCAATATAATTTTCCTCTTTATAGCTCTATTCAAAATTTAATGATTATCAATTATAATTTTAAAATTTTCCTTTAATTTCATTATTCAAATTTAATAATTTTTTGAAGTAAATTTCACTAGAAATGTTTAAACTAGGAAAATTAATCAAATTTTTATGACTATTTCCTTGTTTTATTTAAATAAAATATTTTTTTTTTGCGCTTTGAAAATGAGAATCTTTATTTAATCAATTTTTTACCATTAATTAATTACGATTAAGTTAAATTAATTACGATTTCTTATTTTTAGCGTTTCTGAAACGCGAAAATTGAGTTTTAGCGTTTTCAAAATTCGATTTTTTTTAATTTTCGCGTGTTTGAAGCGCGAAAGAATCATTTTTGGCCATAATTAAAACCCTAGATCTATTTTGTTCTTCATAATTTTTTTGAGATATATATAAGTAAATTTTCCTATAAAGAACTTCCAAATTCAAGCACTCAAGGTCAAGTTATGCTCTCTGGAATTTGACTAATAGTTGCTAAAATCTGCAGATTTTATTTATCAGTTCTGACAACAGATATTCAACTGCAATTTTGGCCCCTTTGTCATCTGAATTTGGAGAAGTGTTGCCCATGACAATTGTAGCTCTCAGAGGGGGATTCGCAAGCGTATGTTAATCATTCAAAATGGAGACTCCGAACTCAAGCTACGAGTCTTCAAATCCGGCTTGTCAATTCGGCCAACATTTATGAAGTTTAAACTTTTTATAGCATTTTGCTCCATTTCCTTCTGTATTCGTGCCATTTGCTCACCCTGCATTGATCAAACACAAAATATGATAAATGTGCACTTTTAACTCAACAATTGACAAGAAATGAGCCAAAATTAAAGAAAAAACCGTGTGAAACTATATGAGAAATGATTATATTCGCTTCTCATCAGAGGTGTACTTAAAGAAATGTTGTTTCATATCATCTAAACGATGGAAGGATATACAACAAAATTATTCTACTATTAAAAAATGAAATGGTTTATTTTAATGGTGTATTTTATTTATCCATGCTAACTTTTTTTAAATCTATTATCTCATGAATGGATCTATTCCAATGTGTCTATTTTACCAATTGGTGGTGGTTACATCTGGCAGGATGAAAGTACCAGCTAGATAGACCATAGGTGAGAAACTGGTCTTGTTACTTAATTGGTGATAAGCATCTTTTCTACGTAAACTTTTGTTTATTTGAAAATGACTTGTCGATACTCTCAGTTCTAAAATATCTTCTGGATTATCTGTCATTGTAGAGTAAGTGGAAGACTGAGGATATACGTCACCTAGACTTTTACCAGCAGAACCAGTTTCTACAGTATACTGAGCTTTGGGAATTTGAGAAGTATTTCAACCCTATGAAATTTTTTAGAACATGAAGAAATAGAATAATTGGGTGATTGTTTAGGGACGTATTCTTTAGATTTCATTGAAGAAAGTATATGGCTTTTGACATCTTCAATGATCTCTCAAAGGATATTTAAATAGTTCCACTTGAATATTGTTTTATAGATAAAACTTGAGTATTTTGAATTGGAGCTGATGGAGTAGCATCAGGTAACATTAACCATTGTTCTGGCAATGTAACATGGTTCCAAATTATAGATTTAGGAAGTGAAATTCAAGCTTTTGACAAATCTATTTGAAACAATATCGGTTCTCCTTTTTGTGTGTTTTAAGAGCTCCTGTATTAAAAGCATAATTCATATCCTTATAGTGGATTTTAAATAGAAGTGCAATAGGCAAAGATCCTTTTTTTATTTTCTAATTTGCAGTTTTTATATTTAAGTCGAAGAATCTAAAATATTTTGATCTCTAAAAAAAACTGTAAAATTTGGAAAACAATCTACATAAACTTGTTTCTACCATGTCTAGTAGAGAATCTTCAAAGTTTACGAATTAACAATCTCTTAAATAAAGAAGAAGAGATGTGTCTAAGCCTTCTCTGGTTAATCGTTTTGCTGCAAGTTGAACAAGACCAAAATGCAAGTAGTTATATCTTTTTCTATGTTTCTCATCCCTTTTGATGATAGGAGTTTAATTTATTCATATTCGAAATTCAAAGCTATTAATTGCTCTACAGTTTTAATTATATAGTCAGTGGTACGTTTTCATTTATTATAATAAATATCGTTAGTTGGATGTTTAGGAATTTTTCAGTTATCAATTGATTGGTTGACAAAATCTAAATTATTTCCTCTTTTTAATAAGACATTTGAAGAAGTAGATGCTGAATCCGAACAAGACTTAGAAAAAGTTCTGAAAAGTGACATGATTCAAAATATTCTATAAATTCAAATATTACAGGGATAAGTAGAGGAGCAGAGAAGGTAGCACAAAAACGTAAATAAATATCAGTTGTAATATTTCTGGGCTGGTACAGGAAGAGTTCCATGAGTTATAACCATGTATTTAGATTAATCATGATAAATAAGTTTCAAATCTATTATGTAATGTTGTTTTATGCTTATCACTAAGCTGGTAAATAGACCAGTTTCGCAACTATGGTCTTTCGGGCTTGTATTTTCATCCTACCAGTTATCTCCAAGAAGAATACTTAGGGCTTGTTTGGCCAACCATCCATTTTGCATTTTGTCTCATTTTACCTCTTAAAACACATCTCAAACACAGAACCCAATACTATCCAAACAACTTTTTAATTTATTTTTTAAAACTTGCTTCAAACATTATTTTTATACCACCACCGGACCACCTCTGCCGCCACTGTCCGCCACCGAACTGCCCAGCGCCGCCACTGGCCCGCTGCCGGCCGGTCGGATTCAGGACTTGGCCGGAATTCGGACGGTGGCGGCGTCGGTGGTGGAGGTGATCCGATGGTGGTCTAAAAATATTATTATTTTGTTTAAATTAACACCCAACCAACTTTTTAAATTTTCTCTCAAACCATATTTTAAATCACATCTGAAATTCAAATAAAAAACTAAAACAAAAGTTTAAAAAAAAATGTTGGCCAAACAAGCCCTTATTGATCCAATGAAATGTCATATTAGTTGCAGACTCCTCAGTTCATTGCACTAAAGCATCCATGGCCATTTTTAACACATTCATCCCTTCATGATTTGCTTTTGTTGATTGCTGAATTGTAGCTACAGCTTTAGTTATGTTTATAGTTTTAAATAATTAGTGATTAACATTAATTTTGTCCGACTTTCTCGCCTAGTCAAGTCAGTTTGTGATGTTCAATCCCCTATAGACCAGTGGAGGAAGATTTACTAGTTTATTTGAAACATTTAATTTCATGCAAATGACAAAACTCTCACGGATATTGTTACATGTAAAACCATAAATGTAACTTATCTTTTTATCAATTTATCGCTGTTAAAATTACTCATTTACTTATTAAAATTAGTAATTATCTTTTTATTGGTCACTTTAGTAATGGACTATGGAATCTTTGCATGTAATTTTTTAAAAGTAAACAGGGAAATTTTAGTGTGTTATAAGAAGTCTATTTATAAAAAGTACTTTTTTTTTTAACGTAAGAAGAAATGAATTAAAAATTAATGTTTTTACGTCTATGTCTATTTCTCTAAATTATGGAGTTATCATTATGAATGGAATAGGGATATATCATTACATTACGCCATTAATTAATTCCACCTTGACATCTCTATTTATTATTCCACATCTCTTCTCTCGGATAGTTTCCTCATAAGGATGAAATATTTTTGTTTTGTTATTTATTTAGTTTTATGTTTTCCATTACCTGCACATTGTGGAATTATGCATACTTGTATATAATATAATCTGTATAGGCTATAGCACTATGCTGAGAAGAATAGGAAAAAACAAGTATCGATGAGAAGGACGCTTATATGAAAAACAATTACCTATGAATGGTAAAGCAACTCCAAAACTTGGATTACTTGTAAAAAGATTCGAACCCACAAAAAGTTTGAACGAAAATGGATGGATAGATTTATAACCATCACAAACAGCAACATCAACGAAAGTATGTTCTCGAGAGGGAATTATCATGCCACCGGATCTATACCCTTGATAAAGAGCTACAACGACGCTACCATAATTTGGGATTTGGAGAACGATCGGTGCGTCAAGAGCTGCAACACCAAAGTAGGTCCAGGGATGTTGAAGAGAGCCAGCGACGCAAACCAGTACATAAGATGGTGTCACAACGGCTAACCCACCAAAGCAGTTATGTCTATGACAAGAAGCAATAGCAGCTACTACAAGAACTAGTTCAAGTCCAAGATGAGATTGTGCTTTATTTTTGGCAATAGGTGAGAGATGAAATTGAGACATTTCGAATGAGATTAGAATGACTACTTGATGTGCATTTCTTGACTTGGAATGATCAAGAATTGGAGTCTGGTTATTGTCATGATATTTTTGCTCTTGAATCGGATCATGACCTTAATGGGAGTCAACTCGCATATGTTTTAGCAAGCTTTATTTACCCCTTTCTACATGTGTTTCAGTTTAATTTAGTAGGACGTAGACATTTCTAATAGAATTTTGTGACTTTTGGTGATCAAAGGACGTAAATGGAAAAACGAACAAAAAGTGGGCAAACTTGTGCAAAATGAGGGCCAAATTGTGCAAGAAGAAAAAAGTTGGAGATTTGACTCAATTACCAATAAAGAGGAGCTAATTGAACCGCAACAAGTTGCTGATGTTGGAGCTAAAGAGGAGGTCGAAAAGAAGGAAGCTTAGAGATAAAGAAAGACTAGGAGGTATGGGCAAGGTATGGGCACATAAAGTGAACAAAGTCAATATGGTCCTTTATATTTGCTAAAAAACTTAATTTGATTCATAACATTAAAATTCAATGGTTTGTTCCATTACATATGTCTTTTATCTTAATTTAATCCTTTATACTATTTTGATACTTTACATTTAGGGGTTTTTGGGTTGACCACTTCTCGATCAAGTCAATAGGGATATTTTCGGTAATATTTAATTTTTAAATTTTCAAAAAATTTGAAAAAATTGATTAAATAATAGTAAACATATAATATAGATTTATATTTAATTAAAAAACAAAAGTTTAAAATAACTTTCAAAAAAACCCTACAAAATGTGATTCTTTCTTTTCTGATCAGGAACAAGATTAAAATCAAATGGGGTCCGATAATTTGAGCTTATGCATGGAAATTAAGGATCAATTTGAAGGAATGGGTGGTGCCCATAAAATGTCCGAATTTAATCATCAGATCATCAATGGTGTTAAAGCCCAGAAAACGTCTGATAGCTTTGTGATGGACATGGAGAACTCTGTATCACATTTTGGCACTTATAAGGATATCAAAGCAAACTCCAAAATTACAGTTAGTTGAGCCGATTACTTTTTCTGAAATATTCAGTGGCCTAAATTTTCTTCCCATTACCCATAAAAACATAAACATAAAAAGATTCCATCCCCTTTTATTCTTCACCTCCCCTCTCTCCCTTCAAATTCTCATCCCCTGAATTGAAAACAGCTTCTCCCAGTTTCTTATCATATCCCACATGAAACAAATCCCTAACCACGTATCTATCCGGCAAGAACACCCATCGATTTGCTATGTCGATATTCAATTCCTCGAATCAGATCTGGGGTAGCCCTCGGTAAATTCAATTTTGAGCACTATGTGAAAAAATTTATCGGTGCTACAGCGGATGCATCAGATGGAGGACCTTTGGAGTTGACATTCCCATAATTGTCTACAATAGAAAGCCACTAGTTCCCATAAGTGTACCACGCCGACAACCATTGCTACGATCAGAATTATATCCTATAGCCATCTCCACTTCTTCATTGGAGATTGAATTCCTGTAGATTTTTGCTTCTTTTTTGCTGACTTAGCTGCCTAATTTTAGAATTAGGGCTGGCAATTGTGCCCTTTTTCTAAGATTTGCACGACTAAGGGTGGGGACAAAGGGTGAATAATCTAGATGTGGGGCCCACGAAATAAAATAGAAAGAATTAGATTTTGATTTTTTTTTGAATTTTTAATTTTATACTAATTATAAATCAATATAATATGTTTAATACTATTTTATGTTCACTTGATGTGCCCATATCTTGCTCATACCTCCTCGTCTTCCTTTGTTGTTAAGCTTCCTTCTTTTTGACCTCCTTTTCTGCCGCAAAGTCAGCAAATTGTTGTAGTTAAGTCAACGACATTCCTCTTTGTAATTGAGTACAGTCATACGTACTTCATTTTTGCATAGTTCGACCTCATTTAGCATTGTTTCCGCACTCATGCCCTATCACTACACATAAATACAAAATTAACCTATTAATATACAATTTTATATCAACTTCTACAACTTATTAAGTAGTAAGAGGCAAATTAAGCATACTTTTAGATGTATTTTTACTGTCATCAGAACCCCCACACCTGAAAATTTGCTTGTACTCAAGCAAACACAACTTGTAGAGTTTATTGTTGATGGAGACCATCTAGCTAACACTAATGGAGAGGGACATGTTGGTGTCAATGATGGAGAAGACGAGCAAGTTGAGGTCGTGGATGCTAATGGAGGATCTAAAGATGCTGCTTTAAAGAATAATCCTTACATTCGTGATCTACTTTCAAACATTGTTGGACCAATGACTCGTGCTAGTCGCAAGAGGATGAATGAATCACTTAATAGTCTAATTGTTACTACATGGGCTAAGGAGGAAATTAAGCTTGAAGATTACAAGCCCAAGACTATTAATTTGTTGCAAGTAACACCAAATGGACATGGCCCATTTGGAGAGAAGAATTTCGGCCCTCAATCCTCAAAGGGACCGCCGGCCACATCTCCTCATGTTGGTCGAATTGCTCCCTAAAGTTTAGGGGTGAGATCATTAAAATTTTATCTCTTTGAAAGATAAGACTTTTACCTCTTTAAAGGATAATATTTGGGATGATTCTTTTTATCTTTTTTTTCGAGTTTTCCTACAATAAGGAGTCAGCTTTTGATGTCTACTCAACCGTTGGATGAAGACTACATCAAAATGGATGGCTAAGATCACTCTACAAAGAAGATGATGATAGGGTTTTAACTCAAGGGAGATTCTATCCATTGGAATCTTTCTAAGAGATTATCTCTTTGTATTTTGGAGTTTTAATTAATTCCTACAAGTCTTAAATGTTTTAAGACTAGTAAAATTGTCTAGGTTCGTTATCTTATCACTTAAGATAACTAGGAGTCTTTAGAGTTTGATTTCATTTCAAATTCTTAGAGATAGGAATAGAGGTGAAGAGTTGTGTTCTTCCTCTACTTCTAGGAGAGAAATTTCGGCCACCCCTCTATATAAAGGGACCGAAATCCTCTTGTCCAACACCTTTTGGTCATTTTGATATTTTCCTGAGTGAAATTGGTTAGGATTTTATTCCTTTCGTGGAGTTCTTGTGAGGACTTCTTTTTTTGATTGTTGCATATGTGTTGTGACAATTGTTAGACTTATCTATCTTGTTTAGTTCTCTTGATAGTGGCGTCTATAGCATTGGATCTTTCGAATCTTGGTATTTGGGCTCATGGATCTCATATCTATTGGGTTTTCTTACACAATTTCCCAAAGGGTCTCTGCTTGGTTAGAATTAGCTCTCTTCATTTTTGATTTGGGTTTTTCTACCATTGAACTCGTGAATTGATCCACGTGAGGTCAAATATCTTTTCTTTTCTTTGTTTTTTGTGTGTTCTAGAGTCTTTAAATCCGAATTTCCAAATTCCGCTGCCTACAAACCTCTGACTTTCCGAATTAACAAAGTTGGTCTTTCCTTAAAGATTAGTTTTGTCACGGATTGCTATCATAATTTTGGTATTCAGAGCCCTTTTATGGTTTTACCATAGTTGGCATATTTAGAACCATAATTGGTATATCAAGAGTCATCTTTGGTTACCATAATTGGTCTTAAAATTCGGATTTTTGTTCTTCTTATTTTCTTCCTCTCTTCGAATTTTCCTCTCCCAAAAGAGGGCATTCGTAATATTTTGTTTTTGAGTTGTTCACCACTTGGACAATTCCTTTTAGTTTCGTGCCTTTCGTTTTGTTATCATCCAATAGCAAACTTTGGTGATTGTGTTTGATATATATCTCTCGTTCCAAGATCCCTATATCTTGAGGGTGATTGATGTTCATTCATTGATTGTTGGAGGAGCTTTTGTGTTGAAGGTGTTTGTTTGTATTTGGCCGTACAAAAATAAATAAAATTTGTTGAGTCTAGGGTTTCGGCCGCCCCTATAAAAAAAAAAAAAAAAGAGAAAGTCGTACAAAAAAAAAAGAGGACGGCAGAAAAAAAAAAGAGAAAAAAAAAGAGTCTTCTTTGATTGGCTACATTAAAGGTTGCCTTGCATTAGGAGATTTCAAAAGAGTTGGAAGTGAAGTTGGAAAGAATCTTCTTGAAGAGGTATATTCAAAGTCTATCTCTATCTAAGAAGGTTAGATAAAGTTGTGTTTGATTGGGAGTTTATCTTTGCTATTTAATTGCCTATATTCTCTCAAAAGATAAGATTCTCTTCAAATCTTATCCTAATCTTATCTTATTGGATAAAACCTTATCCTATCTTATTGGATAAAACCTTATCCTTATCTCATCTTATAAAAGATAAGATTCTCTTTAAGTCTTATCCTTATCTTATCTTGTAAAAGATAAAATTTTATCCTAATCTTATCTTAATTGGATAAACCTTATCCTTATCCTATCTTATTGGATAAAATCTTATCCTTATCTCATCTTGTAAAGATAAGATTCTCTTTAAAGGTTATCCTTATGTTATCTTGTAAAAGATAAGATTATCATAAAATCTTATCCTTATCCTATAAGAGTTTGAGTTTGAGTTGGAGTCTGAGATATCATTTGAGTTTGCTTATACTTCTAAAGCGAGACCCCTATTTTTTCTCCAAACACTCGAACGAGATTCGTGTTCTCCCTCATTCTTTTCTGGAATTTCCCTAAATTTACTCTACGTGCTAATTGATTTTGTCTACTTTTGAGTGATTTATTCGAGTAGATTGTTTAATTAATTGTTGTGGTGCATGTTGCTACTACTTGAACATTGAAGCCGATCCGGAACTTTACCAAAGGTCTTTGAGTGGTAAAAGGCTTGAGTGTTTTCTTTCTGTTCCACTTTGATATTGGGGAAAAAGCCAAATAAATCCCAAAGAGAGCATACAAAAGGTGAGTTGAGTGTGATACTACCAAAAGGGGGGAAAAGTAAAAGATCATTGGTTAGGGGAAGTGAGGTAGGAACGTTTTCTACTAACATCCTATATATTCGTTTGTTCTTTGATCTTAAAGGATGTCATCTGGAGATGATAGTGAACA